CTGCTGACTTTCTCCTCTCCTCCCCCTCCTCTTGGTGCCACCCACTCTGTCTGGCTTCTCTGAAGCACCCAGGTGCTCCCCGGATAAGAATCAGGAAGCAGCTCCAGGCTTCCTTCCCCTTCTAAGCATTCACCCCCCCCCCAAAGGAGCCCATCCCCATTCCCCCTGGGCCTGGCCCCCTAACCCTCAAGGCCCGGTCAAGTCCCTTTCCTGAACAAAGAAACAGACTACTACAGTTCTCTCAGAAAAGCTCTCCTCTCTTGCACACATGGAGACAATGCCCTCCTCTGCCACCATCAACAGCGACATCTTTTGGGGAGGGTAAAAAGAGATGCCAAGCCATCCCAGTCAAATGCTAACAGCGGCTGCCCATCTGCAAATTACCTTCTATGGGAAGGAAAAAATATCTACTCCTCCGGGGAGGGAAGTGACTCACTGTCTCTCTGCCCTGCCTAATAATTCCACTGAAAAGGGAGACTTCCCTTCGCACGACTGTCCTGTCCTTCCCCACCCCGCACATACAGAACGCCCCCCCCCCCCCGGAGGATGGAGGGAATCAGAGAGCCAACTTACTGAGGTGTAGTTGCTTTTCTGGCTCTGGTTCCGGATCTCCTGTTCTTGGCACTGCAGGCCGGCCAGGTGTTTCTCCAGCGCCTCCCAGTCCATGGTGGGCACGGGCACCTGAGCCTCCGGCTCTTTCGACACCGTCCCTCCCGTGGAGTGCTCCCACGGGTGAAAGGCAACCAGCGGTCCCCCATTGCCGAGCTTGCCCAGGCCGTTGCCCAGCGGGGCTTTCTGGAGGTGGGGGGCTTTGCTGGAGTCCCTGCCCCCTCTGCGTCCAGTCCTGCGGCCGGAGGGCACCACGTTGGCATTGTGCCGGAGATCCAGGGGGTGGTGGGGAGGATGATGATGATGATCAGTTTGGCATAGCAGCGGGCATAGTCCCCTTCTGCCTCCCACACATCAATCACCTTCCTCTTGTACACCTGGAAATCCTCCCCCTCCTCCTCCTCCTCTTCTTCCGAGTCCTCCAAGGCAGCCAAGTCCAGGCTGGTCGGCGACGGGGAGGATTTGCATTCCGAGCAAGGGGTCACTTTGCTGGAACTGGACTCCGAGCTCGAGCGGCTGCTGCAGGCGTCGCTGCCTAAATCCATGCCATCCTAGGGGGAGGGGGGGGGGAGAGAGAGAAAGAAAAAAGAGAGAAAGATTCAGAGCATGAGGAGACACCAACCCCGGGACTAGTATTTCTCCTCCTCCTCCTCCTCCTCCTCCTCCTCTTGCTGGAATAACATCGCCGCCAGGCACAGAAAGAACCAGACACCGACTTCCCTCTCCAGATGCTGCCAGACTCTTAAAGGAGAAAGGGGGGGGGGAGATGGCGGGGAGCTCTCTTTTCAAGGGCTATCCGCCACTTCCACAAAGTTTCCCGCAAAGCCTCCCCTCGCTCCCCTCCCCCGGCGAGGCACTTTGCAAGGAGGGGAGGCGCAGGCGGCTCCCACCTCGGGGCGGATCAGGCGCGGCTTCCTGAAGCCTGCCTGGCGTGTGACAGCAGCAGGCGCGGGTGTCTTCGAGCCAACAGTTTTTTCCACGGCAGCAGCGGCAAGTCCTGCCCTGCAATGGCTCCGGAAACTTCCCGGCTCCCTCGCCCAATTGCAAAGACAGGAGAATACGCCGGCAACGCGGGAGGAGGGAGAAGGGGAGGAATGGGAAAGCCAGTTGGAGTCGGCCAGGACAGCGCCGGCCTCACACCGCCCCCTGCGGTACGGACGGGGAGATCCCGGCAGAAAAGAGGGTGGGCGGTTGGAGGAAGGCCGCGGCTCGCGCAGAGTATTGCAAGCGGGCGGGAGAGGGTCGCCCTGCCGCGAGCGCCCCTTGCCTCTCCCCCTCGAAGCATGCAGGGCTGTGCAATGCAAAGGCCCGCCTTAGTCGCGGACCTTCTTTTTCAATGGGATCAGAGGAGGAGGGAAAAGGTGCCTTGGACCACGTGCGCCCGGTGTTTCCGCTCTCTCTACTAAATAGCCGCCATAAGCTCTTGTTTATTACTTTTTAATGTCTTCGGGCGTCGGACGAAGTGGCCTCTTGGCTCGCGAAAGCTTGTAGTACAGTAAATGGCTTAGGCTTTTAAGGGGCCGCAGAATTGTTCTGTTGTTCGTATAATGTGCATCTACACCGCAGGAGTTTAGGCTGTGTGGCCTGACTTTACCGAAGACGGAGCCCTGACTTTTTAGAAACAGGCTCCAGGCCAGGTTATTTCTTTTTGGTCTCCTGGCTGGTATGTTTGCGCCAACCTTGCAAAACATTAGCGGCCTACTCAGCAGTCACCTCTGTGCTGTTCCGCAGAAGATACTGCCGTTGTTGTTGTTACTGTTCCCTCATTTCTCTTGATCCCGTGTTGTGCAGGGACCAACTGTCTGTTCTATGGGAGGATCTTTATTGTGGAGCAAGAGTGTAGCTTCCCCTTGGCAATCACCAACTTTTGACTGACTTGCTTGCTACAGTGGTGATTTAACTGTGTGAACGCAATGCAGGAATAGAGGGTCACTGTGTATTTATTTATTTAATTCGTTTGTATCTCGCCTTTCTCCCCCATGGGGACCCCAAGTGGCTTATATCGTTCACCTCTGTTCCATTTTATTTATTAAGTTCGATTTTTAAACCACCATCCCCCATGGGACAGGACTCAGGGTGATGTACGTCAAGAAAACTTGACATAATTATAGTTAAAAGGTAAAGGTTCCCTTGCTCGAAAGCCAGTCGAATCCGACTCTAGGGTTGCGGTGCTCATCTGCGTTTCAAAGCCGAAGAGCCAGTGCTGTCCGAAGACGTTTCCATGGTCATGTGGCTGGCATGACTAAACGCTGTTACCTTCCCACCGAAGTGGTACCTATTTATCTACTTGCAATTTCTTGCTTTCGAACTGCTAGGTGGGCAGGAGCTGGAACTAGAGACGGGAGCTCACTCCGTCATGCAGCAACTTGGGTCTTGAACGGGTGAACTACTGACCTTCCACAGCCTGCAGTTCAGCATCTTAACCACTTGAGCCACCGCAGTTCCTAGTTAAAAGTTACAAATCAGAAAAATACAGCAATAAATCACCAATAAGATGGCGATGACACTGCCAGAGTATGCCACTGTCTCATGGGGAGGGTGGAGGTAGGAGAAGCAGGAGTGTCAGCCAGATGGAAGCCCATCGCTGTCCTCGACCAAATGCCTGGCGGAACATCTCTGCCTTACAGGCCCGGCGGAACTGCATTAAGTCCCCCGGAGCATGGATATTGCTCGGCAGAGAGTTCCACTAGGTTGGGGGCCAGGGATGAAAACAGCCAAATGTCTCTCAGGCCAGGGAGCACCAGCAGATTCTTACCCGCCGCGCATAACGCCCTTCGGGGGCTTATACCAAGAGAGGTGGTCCCAAAGATATGTGGGTCCCTGCCTGTACAGGACCTTAAAGGTTAATACCATAAGCCTGAACCTGATCTGCTACTCCAACAGAAGCCAGTGCAGCTCACTGAGAGCACAGGTTGAATATGTGCCATACGTGGAGTCCCCCGTAAGGACTCGCGCTGCTGCATTCTGGATCAGTTGGAGTTTCCAGGTCAGAGTCAAGGGTAGCTCTACATAAGGTGAGTTACAGTAGTCCAATCTGGAGGTGACCATTGCGTGGAATACAGTGGCTAGGTTGGGGGCAAGACAGGTGGAGGGCCAGTTGCCTGACCTGGCATAGCTGGAGAAATGCCAGTCTGGCAACATTTTCAATCTTGGCCTCCATTGACAAGGACATATCCAGAATCATACCCAGGCTCTTGACAACTGATGTTGGTGTCAAGGACACACCGTCAAGAGCCGGGAGATGGCATCCCAGCCCTGAGTCCCCCTTCCCCAGCCACGGAAACTCCGTCTAGGTTGGATTCAGTCTCAGATGGCTCTGCTTCAACCATCCCATCATGGCCTCCAAATCCTCGGCCAGGTTTGCTGGGGTGGTATTTGGCCGGCTGCCCATCAACAGATATAGCTGGGTGTCATCAACGTACTGGTGACAGCCGAGCCTGACATTCTTCACCAGTTGGGCAAGGGAGCGCGTATAGATGTTAAGTAACATTGGAGAGAGAATTGCCCCCTGAGAGACCGCACATACTAGTGGGTGCCTAGTTGACAACCTCTCTCCCAGTGCCACCCTCTGTCCCGAACCTGGAGAAATGAGGTAAGCCACTTCAAGGCTATCCCACGCACTCCTGCATCGGTGAGGCAGTGGGTCAAAAGACTGTGATCGACTGTGTCAAATGCTGCTGTAAGATCAAGCAACAACAGCAGCGCCAACCTGCCTCGATCCAACTGTACATGGGGATCATCTGTGAGTGTGATGAAAGCTGTCTCCGTCCCATGGTCAGGGCAGAAGCTAGACTGGAATGGGTCCAGTGCTGACGTATCATCCAGGAATTTCTGGAGCTGTTCTGCCGCCGCTCTCTTAGTTACCTGGCCCAGAAATGAAGGATTCGAGACTGGGTGGTAATTGGAGGGATCCATAGGATCCAAAGCTGTTTTCTTCAAGAATGGCACAATCATTTTATCCTCAAAACAACCCTGTGAGGTAGATTAGACTGAGACAGTGTGACTGGCCCAATGGCACCCAGCCAGCTCCCATGGTAGAGTAGGGATTCAAACCCTGGTCTCCCAAATACTAGTCCACCACTCTTTACTGCTATGCCACACTGGCTCAGAGAAAGCCTTAAAAAAAACCCTCACTTACTTGGAAGTAAGCCTCAGTGGACGTACAATGCATTCCTAAACAGAGTCATATCCTTAACTTCACAAGATTTAGAAGGGTGTAACTCTGTTTAGGACTGTGCTGGTAGAATACTGTAGCATACAATGGATTGGGGGTGGCCTATGTCCTTGTATGCAAAACTGGAATAACCCTACTGTCCTTACAAGTGTGGTTGTGAGGATTACTGCAATAATGCACGTGCAGGCGCTTTAAAGACTGTAAAAACTCATATAAATGCTATGATTATTCATACACACACGTTCCCCATTTGGCTGGAAGACCTGCTGTGACCTAATGTTAACCCTATGAAAAAGTCAGAAAATCTGGCTTTCATTTAAGTAATACATTCCATTTGACTGCAATGAAGTCATATGCTTTAAATTCAGCTTAGTCATTAAGACTGCCTTCTTGACTACTTTCATCATTGGCAGTTAGGTTTCCCTGTGCATAAATTGCATTTTGATATCCAGAATGAACTTCCTTGGGTTAAGCGTTGTGCTAATCCTTAGGCTGGGGTACACAGACAGCTCCGTCTAGCTGGCAGTGGATCTTTGGATGGATCTGAGATCACAAGAGCTCTGTTGGGTCAGACTAAGGCTGTGATCACACGGGCAGTTTGGCCTGACACAGCCACTCCTCCCCTCTGGATCAAATGGGCGCAGTCAGACAGCCACATCTGTCAGGCGTTCCCCAGCCATACTTACCCTGTCCTAGGACGACTTGGAGCCGGGTTAAAATGGCACCACATCACAAGTGGTGTTTTTGATTCCCCGCACAGTCATGGCACATGGCCGGATGTCTGAACGCGGGGGAGCGTGCGCGAAATGGATTTGGCAGTCTGAACCTGCAGTTCTGTTCTGCTGCTAGGGAAGCTTTTTTTAAAAAAATGCCTATGTGTGCTAATGAGCGCATGTGCGTGCATGAATTTTGGAATTTTTTTTGCAGTGTACTCCATGGCTGAGGTTGCCAAAGTTAAAACAGATAAAAGCAAAGTAAAACAACACAATACAAAATACTAAAATGTCGGTGCTCTAGATGTCACAGAATCCTTATTTGCAAGATGGGGTTCTGGAAAAAGTTATTAATTCCAGACCAACAACATACCTCCTAGCAGCACAACCATCCCATCTTCATCCAGGGACGTCTC